AAATTTAATCCAACAATTGCTTCCACCATTGTAAGATCGGGAATTTACAACATATTTCATACAACTGAAAGTTTTAATTTATATTACCACAATATTTTCTTAACTGTGAAAGAATGGGTAGCTGCACTTCCTTCTTGCCGATTGATTGTGTAATTTACATAATAAACAACAACCCAGCACATTTCTATTACCAAATGATCTGTCAGATTATCTATTGGGCTATGTTGAGCCTAATAACAAACTATATAACAAATCAGTTTGGCTAGAGGTAGATGGTTTAGCTGCTCTCCTAATAAATTTAATAATTAGAATTAAATTACTGTAATATTAAATTTAAAATATTCTGAAAGGACATTGTCCATGACTAAATTATCTAATTATTCTTAATATAATATTTTACTATATCTTCCAGAAAATTGTTTTTCGCCCCCAAAATATAAATTGTTACTAATCTCTCCTCAACATGGAAAAACGCCCACATGGGGGCGATATCGCCCCCGTTGAGAAACAGTGGTCTAGGGCCCATTCGTATTCGTTTGTTCGATAAGCCAGTGAAAACCGTAGACTTCTCTAAGTGTGTTTTTAGTAGATTATCTTGACGTTTTTGTCTGCTGTACAAATTAAATGGAAACTGTATCTGAGGGCTTTAAAGGGCTTAATTGAGAAGTTTACGGCAGGATTTTAATGGTGCTATTCAAATTACTAAAGTGGCACTTATGCTTGGTTATTAATTAACTAAAAACTCAGAGTTATACAATGTGAAAATCGTTTCCGTTTATCTCCCGTCTTTTAATAAAATAGGAATGTTAATCTCAATATCCGGTGTGGTAGCTGATGAATACGTAGATTTAGTATATGTCTCTTTAATCCGAATTAGTAAAACTGTAGTCTTTCTCTCAGCTATTAGGTTAAGTACTCCTTTATTGCAAATCACAAATGCATTTCGGGCCTATATGAGCCCTCTTCAGTGTAAATGCTACACATATAAAGCATAAAAAGCAAAAAATTAATTAATTTACAAATTTTTCATGCGAAGGTGATTTTTACAGACAATAAATAAATTTTTTTACATACCTCAGAACACAGAGCAACGCTTTTCTAATTGTACGACTCTCACAATAATATTTTATATAATCCAAAAAAAACACATGAATGTGTATTGAATGACACTATTACACAGGTACAATTAAAAACCTTAAAACAGTAAATATACATTATTACCTTACACATTATTACAATAACAATAACGTGGTATCTTTTTACTTAGAACTATACCTGTAAGGTATTTAAAACCATATCGTGTACTTTAAAACGTTATCAGAATACATGCAATTAAAACGACAGGTTTACAAAAACATAGAACAATGATTTAACCATTTTAAAAAAGGCTCATACATACATCATGTTTCCATTACAGTTTATCATATTTGTTAACGTTATTGTTGTAACACATGATTTTCCTGAATTATGATGTTAGGTATTTTTTAAAAAACCTCCATGTCATATTTTTTGAAGTACTGTAATTAAGTATACTAATGAAGTACTGTAATTTAGTTCGACTGATATCCCTTCGCTCAATTTTTTCAGCTGTTTTTGTCAAATTAATCGCCTTATAAAAAATAGTCACTTTCATATGTTCCTTGTCAAAACTAAGAATTGCTATAGATTTGTTGTAATCTTATTTGACCGCAGATGTATCGGGGATCTTTCTATTTACACAATATAATAATAATATCGATACATAAGTAAATAAAATCAGGTCATCCTTAATGCAGTCGACTTTTCCATGTTAATAACTAGTCCTTATAAATACACTCCTGAAAAGTCTACTGGTATATAATAAATATATAATTAATATATATAGAAATCTTCTTTACTAGACACTGTTTTTTTTATTGCATGTGATCTTACTGTTACAGAATGAAAATAAGAAGAAAATAAACTTTTTGCACTTGATCAGGAATAAGGACTTACGCAAGATTACTTTCTTCATGTACATCTTATGGTAAGCACTTTTCATGAGTTTTCGATATGTTCGCTTATGAAATAATTTTTCATTTATAAGAGATAATTCTGTGCATTTTTGAAATTTATACAAATAATAAATTGTATAATATCTCTCAAAATTGAATGGTAAATTAAGACCTGTATTAATAGAACGGTTTCACTTTACAAAAATGGAGTGACATAACTCAATCGACTGCCTTCTTTATACTTATCCTAATTATTTAAACACACTACTGAATCTCTTTCACTACTTTCAGGTTAGTAATGATATTTGACGCCTACGCATTATCATTAAATGCAGATATCACAGGAGGAAACATTTTTCTTTTTTTCGTCATATATTCCTCATTACAATATTGTGTTTCTGGTGCGTTGAACATTATTTTACCTCGCTTTGAAAGAAGACGTATTTTGATGTTTGAATATCTTTCAGTGGGCATCACTTCGTTGCTGATAACAGCTGTTCCAGACGGTAAACATGTAATTGATATTGCTAATTATTAGTGTAGTTTTACTATTAAGAACATGAAATTATAATTCAAAACGTATTTAATTTTGTTTTAAAACGTCCTAGCATTTATGATTTCATCGCGATTCTGAATATTACGGTCTTTTTAAAATACATCTTATATGGCTGAGGATTGTTTTCGTAGTGTTAAGTAGATGCTTCACGACTCTTGCAATAAACACGATATATGGATATACTTTAGAATTGTACCCGACTGTAGTTCGTAACGTGGGTATCGGATCGTGTTCTACATTTGCCAGAATCGGAGCGATCGTTGCACCTTTTATGAAGGATCTTGTAGGACTTCACACTCGTCTTTAACATTGATTAACTTATTTATACTATTTTATAATATAATGTTATTGTATTTGTCACAGAGTGAAAAGGTGAACTGGAGCATTCCCTTTATTATAATCGGTGTATTGACTCTTTCGTCTGGTTTGTGCATTTTGCGTTTACCCGAGACCAAAAATATTCGTTTGCATGATATTATTGTCAAGTAAGAAATTATTACGGAATTTTTTAGAAAATAATTACATTTTATAATATTATTCTCACTTAATCGACTCACGTAATATGTTGCTAAATTTTTGCAGTAATACAGCAGAAAATGAAGAGGAATAAAAAAAACCATAGAAAAGAAGAATGAAATTAATTACTACTTCAAAATGAGGAAATCACTTAATGTTAAAAATATATAATAATTATTGCATGAAAAAGTCTTTATTTTACATAGAAAAGTTTTTTTATTTATGGCGAGGAGAAATAAATTAGTGTTATTTAATGAATATATATTTTAGTGGCCAGTAGGTTTGCCAGGAAGGCCTTTTTATAGAAACAAGATTTAAATGTGACGTAGATGTATTTTAAAATATATTTCAAAGATGAAAAGAATGGTATTGTATTGTGTGTTACAAAAATAAAATGCCCGTAAACGATTTTTTCTTATTAAAAAGTAATGTAAAGGAGCGAATAAATTCAAACATTTTTTAAAGTTTCATATTATCCAAAAAGACAATTAAAAAAATTCCCTATATTGGATTTGACCAAACTAATAATAATTGGTACAAAGATACGTCTAATGGGTACAAAGATTATCATTTCCCATAGGAAATGGTCATATTTGTACCCATTATACGTATCTTTGCCCCAACAGACAATAATTGTCGGAATTTGAGACTTTATATTTTACCGTTCAGGGAATTTCCCAAAATACGAAATGTCGGTCATAAAAATTATTTTATAAATACATTAATTATATTGGATCGCATGTATTAGGCATTTTAATATGCTATTATTTACACTAAATACAGTGTTTTCTAATTACAATACATTCATTAGCTAAAGATTAAGCTTCAAATATTGATAAAATTGTTCGATTACTACAAAATGGGGCATGCAACTATGTCTCAAACAAGTATGTAAATGGCTAGAATTGTGGATTGATTGTAGGCTAGATCGGTGTTTCGCAACCGGTGTGCCGTCACAAAACGAAAGGTGTGACGTGAACTTTTACATATTCTATTAATTATCAAGTTTTATTTATATATTTTTATCACAGTTGCTGTGTTTCTTATGCTTGTATTTCATTCTCTGACGCAGCACTGGTGAAATATGATGATGATTGTTTATTCTTTATTATAAGTCACGCATTTTTATGTATTCTATGAAATTAAATATGAAATAAATTTGCTCACAGGTGTTTTGTTACCCTTGCCAATTGTTCCGTGTTCGTGCTTTTCCCAAAAGTGCTGGGATTAGTCCTGTCTTTTATTACTTTATTTTGGTACTTGTCCCTTTTTTTAGTGTTTCCTCAACTTTATTACATTCCTATACCGATTCACCTGCTTCAGAAATGCAGTGAAGGTATTAATGCCTGCTTGTAAAGAGATGGTGAAAATAGACCTGGGTTCAGAAGCTGCTAGTGAAATATAAAAAATTCCTCTTTCTGATGACACAATCAGTCGCCGAATTATTGAGATGTCCAGTGACATTGAAGACATTATGAAGGAAAATATCAACAGCAGTCGAAAGTTCTCGCTTGAGATCGACGAGTCCACCGATATTAGCAGCCACGCACAACTTTTTGTTTATACTCGGTACATCTATGGTATTGGAACTTAAAGACGAGGTATGTGCATTTTTGACTGTCGAGAGGCACGAGTACGCGGCTTTATTTGCAGATGATGAATGGGTATGTAAGTTGGCCTATCTTTCTGATATTTTCATACAATTGAATGAGCTAAACAGAAAAATGCAAGGTAAGAACGAAAATATTCTTACTAGTATGGATAAGATTCAAGGATTTGTGAATAAGCTAAATTTGTGGATACAGAGAATTGAAAATGGTTCGTTTGAAATGTTCTTGACTGTATGGTCACTTGCTTCCTGTAATAAAGTGATGATGGATCTAACTAAACAACATTTACAAATCCTGCAGCAAAGGTTCAAGAAGTATTTCGGAGACAGTGTTGAAGATATCGACTGGGTTCGTAATCCATTCGTTGCGATTTCAGAATCTCTACCTATTCATTTACAAGAGGAACTCGCGGAATTAAAAGCAGACAGAACATTGAAATTACAACTCTTCGAAGTACCTTTGGATACATTTTGGATGGCAGTAAGGAGTGGATACCCGGCTACCTCCGGGTAAAATTTTATTATTTAATTAAAATACCATTTTTAATTAAATAATAAGATTTTTATTCCAGAGTAAGTCTAAGATAGTGTAGCTTAATAAAAGCCATTTGGGGCATTCATTTCGCTATCAAAGACCGCGCCTTCATACATAGCCCCTTGTTAAAAAAAAAAAAACACTAGCATCTTACATGCCGTAAAATACGACACACAACAAACCTAACATTATACGAAAAATATATACTTTTTTGACTCTTATCGTATTGTGTTTAGCACACGTAAATAAAAACAATTATCTTTGTAGATCTACACTTTCTTCAAAACTTTGGGCCGCATCACGAGAACGTGCGATTATATTAACAAAGAGACCAGCAATAATTTACAATACAACAAATACACCATAAACAAAACATTGATGTATAATGGTTAATTGATAAAAGTTATAAATATAAAAAATGTTTGTTGTAAAAAATATGACGATGTAAAAGTATGCATCGTATAAAATTTATTGCTTCTGGTAAAAACTGATGACAATTAATATTATAAATGGCTGGTTAGAAATTGTCAAAGCAGAGACACCCTACAAAGGAATTTGCCTTGAAAATGTATACAGAAAGCCAATGACAGTAGAAAGGACAGACAAAAGACGTATCTTTTTGCAGAATTTTTTAGATTAGCTCAATATATGAAGAAACGAAATTTTCTCTAAATTGTGTATCATGGACACATTCTCTGAAGGCAATTATTAAGCTATATCACGTACAAGAAATATAGATGTAGATGTTTTAGGTGTGGTAGCTGATGAATACGTAGATTTAGTATATGCTTGAGAAGAACTATTTGAAAATAAAATGGATAAAAAGAACAGGTTGGTAACCCTTATAATGAAATTGNAAGGAGCACAAATATAGTATAAATAAAAAACTGAATAGTACGATATTAGCAAGTATGGCACAGGCAGACGGATCAGTAGTCAAATGGGATGAAGCCAAGATTGTTAGGACGGGACACTCACCTTCCATCGCAATGGAAATGGAGAAAATAGAGATTTACAGAAGTAAGATGAGGGACAGATGCCTAAATGCAAAAGATGCAAAAGCATTACCAACGGCTTGGAAATATAAAATTGAGAAAAATATGGGTTTTAATAATCCATAAACATTTTCATGTTCTGGAGTTTTTAGTATTTCAAACTCAAAGTTATAAATTTTCTTTTATTTTATTGTTAAATTGAAACGCGATTTTTAGATTACATTTTATCATATATTTAGTTTAATTTATTTATTATACATAAAAGTTGTAATAAGTTCAAATTCAAACGAATTTCGAACGAATGATTCCATTACAACGAAAACTATTAAAACCTGAAGATGGCCTATACGAATTGGCCGAAAACGTTTGGAATAAACAAAAATAACTCGGCAAAAAATTCAGGTGTGTGTGATTTATTAGTATAAACTTCAAAATTTGGATTGTCTCTTGACAAGTATTTCGCATCGTAGATATGGATATTTTGCCACAAACACTTAAGATTACTTTATGAATATAACGTTCTGAAATACATTACTTAATGCCGTATCTATTTTTATATTTGTAATTTTTGAAATATTTACTATTTATGTATATCTGTAGTAATATTAAATATATACTACTAGTTTATCAAGTTTATATTACATCGCTTTAGAATTACAAACGAGATATCTATAAAAAGTAATGGTGATATAACGTGCTTATCATACTGAGGCCTTATTAATCAAGTGCCTTACGTATGACCCTTCTTAACTGTGTAGGTGACTTCGTGCAAATTTTTGTTGCTTTTTATGTGAACAATGAATGAATGTTAGTAATTTTTATAAAAATCAGATGGACCATATTTACGTAGCCGATCTGACTACGCGCCTAGCGCTACTCGCCCATAACAACGTAATATATACAGACAATATGATAAGAAGCAAAGCAAGATTTAATAACGGTACTTTCGTTAGAATTATAGGTTTATAACGTTATTGTTTAATAGCCTGTATTAGTATTTCTACAATTTGCTGTGTCAATGTTTCAGAAATGATCCTGATTCTGCACATGTTCTGACGTCTGCAACAGATACTACTGAATATAACAGCGAGCAGCAACGATGCTCACGACCTAAAATGGAAGCAATTGTATCTGAGGAAACACGGTTTTTCCAAGAGTAATATATCTAACCATGTACGTATGGAAAAATCAAGAACACACATTAGTTACATTATAAGTGCCACTCATATGTTAAGTACTCAGTTGTTTATCCTATAATATAAAACAAGCGCACAAGAAATGTATGTTAATTTGAGACGTTCGTGTAATAGACGAAGTCATCATTGACAGATTACGATAAACGACGTAGCATTTATATTTCCAAAGATTAGCTGGTGATACAAAGGCAGTTTGCGAGATAAGAAATAAAAGATTAGAGAAGTCATCTTCCTTTCATCCTGCCTGTCGACAGAAAACACCTCGAAACTGTTCTGAAAATTTAGCCTCAAATCTGGATTCATTGTATTTAAAATAATGAAATTAAATTATATATTGAAATAAGCACGAAAATAACTTTCATGAAAGAGTCTGAATAGAGCAACATGTATTAATAATGTATTGTACAGAAACATTTCCCATTATGAAAATATTGTTCTCTTACTGAAAAATATTGTTAAAATACTTTCACAATGAGAACACAGCGTCATACATTCATAATATAGAACTATGTAATTTAGCATTTAACTTCAAAAACGTTTTTATCTAAACTAAAGGTGTGCAGTTAAATCTTTTTCCTAATCCTAAAGCGATGATTAATAGTAAATTATACCGTACAAATATTATAATTACTTTTAAGTTTACTTACCGACACCGATACTTCTGCAGCCGCTAATTTTATTGTTGAAGAGACAAAAATTGCCATAAGTAGAATAAAAAGTAACATAAAGTATTGAAAAGAATCTTCAACGAAATATATAGTGACGTATAGGAAAAGGCATGTAACTCCAATCACAAGAATGTATGACGCAGGAAATATCCCAGTAAATATAAAATTAATTTCTTCCAACATTTCACAGCATTCTTTGTAACATATAGCAAAGTATTGAAGGAACTTTTTTAAGTCGTGCATGTCTGACCTAACATTAAAAACATCCTCCGATAAACTATTAAACTAAACATTTATAATAACTAAATTGAATACCAGTGTTGATGTCATAAATAATCCGATTCCATCAACGAGCATGTAGTTAACGTTAAGTAAAAAATAGCAAAATTCAGCATTGTATATATTCGTAGATTCTATCATTTTGGGAAATAATGTAAATGCGTGAGAATTATTTATTAATACGCAAATAGCTAAGTATATTACTGTAGTGTAATTAGTAATTGATATTTGTATTTTTTGTAATAGACATATCCTTTTGCCATAGACGTACCCAAAACTAATTCTAGTGTGACAATGCCGAAGGGCTCCCTCTATGCTTTGACACCACAGGACCGAAGGGTCGACATTGCGTCGGCGAAGACTGCAATGACAAATTTATCAGGACTGACACCACTGTGTCTTCTGGGTAGACACAGAGACCGTTACGTTCGCGTTTACGCGCGAGCAGTCGCGTCTGTGGGCGGTTGGACTCGGGATGGATACCGCTTGAGGAAGTGCACCCAACACAATTCTAACAATAGCAAAATTCGTTTATTAAACTAGTTCTACAAAAGGGTATTTATCTTAAAGTTTCTTCGCGAGAACCAAGTTGGAGAGAGAGCTTACATAATATCGCGGGTCGTTGTAAATACATGAAGCACTACGTACGGATTTCCATATGTCTGCGGAGTTGTTGAGGAGCCTTGGGAATGCCTCTATTGCCTTGGATGGTGTTAAAGTCTATCAAACTTGAGATCCGTTAGTTCTTCGTAGGTGTTCCCGGAGAAACACTGGATATTCGGGAGGAGCAATGATGGTAAATCCTTTCGGCTGGCACACAGGGAATATTCTCGCGGACTCTCGATCCCTCTCACTGTTCCTTCAAGTCTCCTTTTTATTTCCAAGTCACGTTGTCGTTTTCCACCAATAGTGGATTTTTTGTTGTAGTTCCCAGTGACACATTCTGAGTTCCCTGGGAAAGGAAACGACTCCGGGAAGAGAATTGTACTCATCCTCCAGTAATAAAATGGAAAATGTTTTTTTTCTCTGAGATTTAAATAAATTTCCTTTTCAAAACAACAAATGAATTTTCTTTCAAGAAATTTCCGAATAAAATTGTGGGTTTTTTTTTTCGAAGTCCGACCTCTCACACTAGTTTCTTTATTATTATATTTCAATATATACATAGAATAATATGTTTGTGGCGTAATAAACACTAGTATTGTGTTTTATTCCAAAGACATATGGCAAATTTCCCATCAAATTCCTTTATTAGTTGATACGGTACATTGTTTTGTACATCGTTTCGGGCTTTGCCCCTCTTCAGTCAACTAAAATACAATATATATATTTAACTTATTACAGTAGAGAGTTTACATAAAATAATGAGTACATAAACGATATATAGACGTACCTTTTGGTTACACTTTGTATAATTTAAAAGCGTAAAATCTGCTTTAATCTTTGTATAACTAGTATATATTATAAATAAATTAAAAGGTTAAAAGTTCTAAAATCTTCTCTTATAAGCATATTTCGATACTACAAACTGTAAAAAATTTTTAACTGTTTCCTCCCCCTCTTTACCTTCCACNGGAGGAAACAGTTAAAAATTTTTTACAGTTTGTAGTATCGAAATATGCTTATAAGAGAAGATTTTAGAACTTTTAACCTTTTAATTTATTTATAATATATACTAGTTATACAAAGATTAAAGCAGATTTTACGCTTTTAAATTATACAAAGTGTAACCAAAAGGTACGTCTATATATCGTTTATGTACTCATTATTTTATGTAAACTCTCTACTGTAATAAGTTAAATATATATATTGTATTTTAGTTGACTGAAGAGGGGCAAAGCCCGAAACGATGTACAAAACAATGTACCGTATCAACTAATAAAGGAATTTGATGGGAAATTTGCCATATGTCTTTGGAATAAAACACAATACTAGTGTTTATTACGCCACAAATATAAACAGGACACGGTTTCAAAAAGAAAATCAAAAAATAGAATAATATATTGGTAAATGATGTGGGTAATTGCTGTTGTTACATTATCATTTCCATATAAATCCAGATGATTTGAACAAATGTAAACAGACTGAGCTTTCGGAAGGTATAACATCAAATGTAAAAATACATTATACGTGATAATGGCGCTTGGAACTACAATTTGATGTAATTTTAAGAAGAAAGATAATTTGATTTCATTTTGATGTTGGCATTTATAAATGTTTTGTATTCCGAATAGCCTCAAAAAATTAATTATCAGAGAAAGAATTTCACAAGAACACATTTCTGTGATTCTTTCTTTTAAACTCGGCTCCATATTAGTGAATGATTCTGGAAAATAAATTGAAAAATGATTTAATAATAAGAAATTATTACTTCATGTAGAAAATTTCTAAAATTTCATAAAATTAAAATACAAATAACCCCATAATCACTTCAAATATCGAGCGAACAGATAAACTCCTTTATTGGGTTATTAAGACTAAGTAATTACTAAGCAATATTTTTTTCAGAAGACAATCAGTCAACTTTTGTTAAATACAGAATAATAATTTAAGTCTTAGTCTATATCAATTAGATACATAGACACGAGGGCTTATCACACCTAATTGGACACGCATATACATGATAAGTCCTCATGTATATATGTCTAATATAGACCAAGATTAAAACAACATTAATGGCTAAAAGAAATAAATTATTCAATTGAACAGTATAATAATTATAAATAAATTTTATTTATTTATAATTATTATATTTAATAACAGCGATATAGAGAGAGGCAAGAGCCGCATCCTTTGTTTGAACTTTGTTTTATAGCAAATATTTGTAGTGTTTATAGAAAACACGTAAAAATGTATGAAAAGAGTAACTATGAATATTTATAAACATGTGCGCCTTAAGTTTTCATTTATGGTCGCATAATTTCAAGAATACTGTGCAACGAAAAAAAATTGCAGCTTAAAAAGCAAATATAAAGCAGACAGACGGATGAGCCTTTCTGCTTATTATGGAAGGAAATTCCATAATCTCAACAATGGAGTGAGATAGATGAAAGTAGAACCCAGATATGGAAACCTTAGGAACAGAAGGCCCGAAATACGAGTTACTGTTCCAGACCAGATTTGAATTGAAATCAGGTGAAGTCACGTGATTTCAATTCAAAAATCTTCTCTAGATCGGAATTAGGTAGATAACTGGTATAACTGTTCTTGTCAGAAAAAGTGCGATGTACAGAGGCAAGGCACTACTAAAATCGAGAGCGTATATTTTAATTATATATATAGTATATTTATATGGACAGACATGCAAACAGACAAAGAGGCAACGTAAATTAGTAAAAAATTAAAAAAAAACAACCAATTGCAGTCTGGTATTGAGTTATCATCACAATAACGGACTGTAATTGCTCGTTTTTTATTAGTGTCTTGCTCCTGTACATCATATTTTTCAATTAACAATAGAGGTTTCGATCGTATAGCGTAATCCAATGGTTCTCAACCTTTTTTGTTGATGTACCCCATTAGCCCATTAGTTGTTTCTCAAGTACCCCTTATATTTTTGTATGTAAATTTTATAATTACTGCGTTAGATGTATACAGTCCTTATAACTGAGCATCATAAAAAAAACTTTAACTAACTAACTATAACTAAAAGTGAATTACTTATTTTACATAAATAATAACAAATTTAATCAGATACATACATTTATTTATTATTATTTGATAAGTATATTATATAAAATCACAAAAGTCATTTCAATACATGCATAAATTACATTTCCTAAAAATAAATAATTATAATTAACAATAAAGAAAATTTAAATTATTCTACAATAATTTCTAACAAAATTTAATGGGATATTTGTTGCGATAAATCTTCAGCAATTTTTTCAAAATTTGGTTCCCACGTTGTTAAATAGAGATTATAATTGTGTACTGACCTTGAAAGTAATGGCTGCGAATTTATAACGTGCAGAAAAATACATGAATCTTTCAATTTTTGTAACAAACGTAACGTATAAATTTGCTAAATATCAAGTAATGCGCGCATGCAGTAACACGCATTGCATGGTGGGGATGTGATCCAGGCCTCGTTATTCCTAATACCAGTAGTCCAGTAAAAATACAAAAAGCCCCAATCTTATCGAGAAATAATTAATGTTCGGTTAAACCGTAATTTTACTAGTGTGTGGTTGCAGCTTTCTGCCTTATTTGGTGATTTGGTAATATATATGTATTTTTTGGAAGGAGCTATTTTTCGGCCGTGGGGAAAAAGGGTTGGCAACCTGTCGAAGATACAGGAGGATTTTTAAGACGACGTCGACTGGATATAGGGGCTTCTTTCT